TTCAGGTGGAGAATTGCGGACGCCTGAAATTAGGATATCTGCTAGTTTAGGGAAAGAATAGGCGTGGTGGATACGAAAGAGACCTTTAACCTAAAGTTATTGTGTACCTACCGTTGAGGAAGCTCTCTGAAATCACGAAATATTTACACAATAGTTTCTCGAGTACTAGCAGACTCATCCTAGAAAAGACAGTAAGATTAGATAAGAAATAGATTTACAGGATAAGAGTTATTAAAAAAATTCTTTAACGGTGCATTTGAGCTCTGATATGTCCTTGATGAACTATTCAGAATACTTCAGTTAAAACTTAATTATTCTCCGAATACAAACTCGTGGTTTAAGAATTTTTTTAATATGCCGTACACCAACATTTAAATCTGGCAACAGAACTATTCTTATTTTGTTTCACTGAAATTCAATTTTCGAATACGCCTGATAAAAAAGTTACAAATGCATTGGTAATAAATAAATCATCGACAAAATCTTACCCGCACGGTAATAACTAACCAATGCAAATTCTGGTCAGGTATTTTGTTCTGAAACCTGTTCAAATCAAAAATTAATAAAACCTCTACTACCAAACACAGTGAATGAAAATCTCACAGGAACAGAATGGCTGGTAATCTGGAAAGCTCTTTACATGATTTACCTGTTAGAAAATTTGTATAACTTGGGATTTGGATAAAAACTTTAGTTTCAAGCTGTAGATTGTGTATATAAATTTCCCCAAGGTGTGCAAGAAGAAAATGAGCATTCAAAGCGAAGAGACGTAGCTCCTCGCTGTAAGTTAAATTATTTTCTGTCGCTTCGAATTTTATTTACTCCAATTCTGATATGTTTGTTAACCTAAATATTTGTAGCTTAACCTACCGTGTCCTATTTTAAGGGTGTAAAATTTCCTCCCCAATATCTTAATTTTGGAGAAAGATGTTTGTCACTTTTCTATTTGTGGTTTATCATCAATTTAATTTTGAAGTCGGCCTGACTGAAAATTTTGGCAAGTACTTAGACGTATGTGTTTATTTGAATGACCCCGCCATACTCTGAAAAAAGTAGTGCTATATTTTACACCAAACGAACAAAATCAAAAATTGCAAGGACAAACTTACAATCACATATTCTTATGTTATGTACTTTTTGCGGTAAGTCTAGTTGAGGTATTTTGTATACATTAGATATTTTATGAGAAATAACGTCAATTTCAAATATTTAATCGATGAATAATATTATGATTAGATGAAGAAGGCTTTGTAGGCTTGAATGTACTCCATTGAAAGTTTGATCATTTGATATTTATTTTGAAAAAAACAATCTCTAGAAGTATATTCTTTCATAAATTGATGGAAATAATTTATTAAAATAATTTTCATAGTTTCATAAATGTCAATCATTATATATTTACATAAATTCGATTTGCAAAACAAATAAATCAAGTATATTTCAGTATTATTCAGACCTAATTCTTAATGGAGGGGAGATAGAACAGATTACGTCGTTCCCTTACTCACTCTCATACTGCTTTTTCTGAATACATAATCATGTTTCTACAAGCAACGCATGTTAACGATAAACAAACAAAATTGTACGACATGCCTTAAACACGATATTGGAATAAATATGTGAAATTATATTTTCACTTTCAAAATACCTATTAGACCTTCTACAAACACGACAGGCACGGTATTTATATTATTTTAGTTAATCCGTGAGTTTGTTTAGCGAATTAGCACAGTCATCGAAAAGCGGAGAGGTCGCAAACGATTTATTATAGTCGTTTAAATTCTTATGGGTGTGCGTATATCACAGATAATTATTGTGACGGTGCGAACCATGCCACAAAGTTAGAGTATTTTGAACGCCACTCAATTCCCTAGAGCATCATTAAAGTGAGGTTATTGGGCGTTGAACAGATTAGTATAGTCGCATACTGCTCATTAAAATATGTAATAATTATCATTACCTCAGGTGCAGTATTTACAGGCGAGCATTTGAAGTATATATAACGGTTTGTTTTCCTTTTTCAAAGAGTTATTAAGTCAAGACACTTATTATAATTTGCATAGATACAGTGCAAGCTGCGTTATTGTTTACTTTGTCTATGTAATCTTTCGTAAATCCAAAATACCTGCTACGGAACATACATACGTCTTTGTGTATCTTACTGAAATACAATGCATGTAAGTGCCTCGGAAAGTTAAGTTACTTATGCCAGTTAGTAAGTGAAGTAACAAAGGATTAGGAAAGGTTTTTACTAAATAACACGTTCTCTTTGTTCCTGCTGGTGTGTTAGGTTTTAAATTTCGATATTTTGTAAGTTTGAATAATTTAGAAATGGCAAAACATGTAACCGTTTCGACTTTCAAGTGGTAAAGATTTTGGACTGATACTTTGAAAAAGTAAAATTTCAATCTTCAATTCATTTTTGTTGTTGAAACGGTGTGTGCACATGGAAAACTGAGACACGGAGTAAGTAGAATTCCGAGAGAAAGACGTTCTAACAAGCATAAGCAGTAACTCAATGTCACTTGAACTTAAATAGTATTTATTTTCTTAGCGCAATACATAACCTAGACCTTGTTTTGAGGAAGTTTAAAGGACCCCGCACAAACCTCATGGAAAATGGCTTTCTGTCAAATTGGCTGAATTTTTGAAATTGGATAGATTTCGATATTCTGATTAAAAGTTATCATTGCCCAAAAAATGGAATCAAATTTGCGCAGTACAGTTTTTGAGTAAATGGGCTTAAAAGATGATATTGGGAACGCATGTAGCTTAAGAGGTAGGTGCCCAACGCTATCAATCGATACTGAAATATATATTTATTCAAAATTAACCCAAAAAACAAAAAGAAAATGTATCTCGGCTGAGATATGAACAACTGATCCTAGACTTCAACATCGCTATTCCACGGTTTGGCTATTTCAGTATCGATTGATAGCGTTGAGCATGTGAACAGATTCGTAGGCGGGATTATTCAAAATACTTTAAGTCAGTCATGGAATTCTAATGGAAACAATCGTCCGCTAACAATTTCATTCCACAACAACCGTACCTATATTATTTTATTAAATTGAAACTGAAAATCTTTAAATTATTATCTCACTAATTAAGAGACGTCTGAAAATATCTGGCATCAGTCACCCTTTTATGCTTATTTAAAGGGTTTAATTTATGAAGTGTCACAGTTTGGGAATTTGGATTCGTCTTGAAAACTCAAATCTGTTTTAAATTCGTTTTTTGGTTTATACCATATTAATTAAAGTCTCTATGAAGATTGATGAAGCCAACCGTTTACTTTTGGGAATTGAGCAGTTTTGATTATGGAAAATAAATTAGTTTGATAGTGAAAAAAGATCAAAAAGTGCATAAACTAATTTATTGAATAATAAGTTGAAAATTAATTAAAAATTATATACATATAAAAAGTATTGAAGCGTATCTGATGAATTAATTATGTTACATAAGGGATACAATCAAAGCCTGATGCGATGCTTCTCAGATTAGTTTTCGTAAAGTTGAAATACATTGCGAAATATTAGCGCTTTTAATATGTACGAATGTCATATCAAAAGCAGTGTATGCGCTGAAAAAGTTTTGCTTTTGAAATTAATTATAAGTGGATGCTAAAAATCCGTGGATTATTAGTATGTACATATTATTATATTTTATCTAGCATGATTCAAATGGTACCATAATTTGAACAAATATTTGTTAACTTGCAGTTCACAAAAGTCAAGCAATCAAAAAAAGTAAATTACAAAACAGTAAATAAACCCAATTATCCTGGTCGAACAATATAAAAAATGGACTATTTTAAAACATTTACTGTTGAATCTGCATGTTGTTTTTTTTATTTTTTATTGTAATCTACGCATGAATAACTCAAAATGGGTAGGTATATTATATTATGCAGCGAATTTCACATTTTCCACATTTTTGTTTTTCTAGATAGCTTCCTCCGATATAGACAGAATAGGGCAAAAGCGGCCACCAAACTAGGAAAACCAAAGTAAAGTGAATATCAATAAAACCAAGCGAAAGCCATTTCCAAGCTAGACCCTAGAGCACAGTGTCTGAACGAACAAATATTTCAAATAAGTTTTAATGAGAAGGTATTTATCGAAATAGTCATGCTGTAATATTCGTGAATAACAAATAATGCCATTCAAATTTCATCAGTGCTCAATATATTTCTCAGTTGAGCTGTAAATGCAAAATTCAAGCTTGACTAGTTCGTGGCTCAAATTATTTCAGATTCGTGGTTATTGAAAAAAACACCCTTATTTCAGTTCATTAAAATCTCGCCAAATTTGTTTGTGGTTTACCTAAACTAGGTTTAGGATTTCATCCACATTTTGATATAACGAAAGGTGAAACACATAACAGAACAGCATACTTCCATTTGAGATGGGTCCGCGAATGCTTAGTTTTCGAGATACAGGACGTCAAAAAAAAAAAAAAAAATCGGTTTGGTTTGTGATAACAAAACGTATCTTTTGACTGTAATATGACTTGTTCAAAGTTATAAAAAAATAGCGACGTGCCATTTTTTTTTTCTACTTAGTAGTTGCCCTCTGGGCGCCACTGGAATAATTATGTTAAAGCTACTACTTGAGTCAAAAGATACCTTTCGTTATTGCAAACAAATCTGCCAAGTCTAAAGAAATTCGGGAAACGGATTTTGGAAAACCGATTTTTTCAAGCTTTGACACCCTGTATCTCGAAAACTAAGCATTTGCGGACCTATGTTTCCATTACCTTTTTTCTTATTTCAATGAGTACTATTTATCCTAGAAGTTTGATGCCACAATTTATTAACATCGTGTATACTGGATAGGTAAAAAAAACTGAACTTCTATATAAAATACTTCTCAATCTTCATCCTTTATATGTATACGATTGTTTGTTTCTAATATAAAATAGGCTAGGTACGCCTGTCACATAACAAAACTTTTTTAGTTTTTAAAGTAAATTATATCAACAAAAAAACCTCTACTCACCTATTAAAAGAATAAGAAATTCAAGTAAGTATAAGTGCTCCGTGATGACACAGAATTTAAAAGTCACTATGGTAAGAAAGACACCACACGGCGCGGTCATTCTTTATTGCATCGGAAAGGGAATTGAAAATTCGTCGGTCGCACGTGCAAACTCCACGGGGCCTTAGCGTAAAACTATACAGATATCTCGCCTACCCTAGGTAAAAGCGAAATGTGCGAGAAACGAGACGGCGCTGTAGAATCCAAATCCACGTTTGCCAGCCTTGCTGCGTGAAGTTTGCAGAATTTTGTGCCAATTGGACCTCACTTTTTATTATGAAGTAGGTTTTCATGATTTTGGTCATGTTCAGGTTTTCGGATGCGATAATTATTTATGCACTACTGGAATGATGCCGGATTTAGGATAAAAGCACGTATTTAATTCCGTTGCAGCACAATAAATGCAAAATAGGAAGATTTTTTAATTTCGTAATACTGCAGGATCGCAAGTACCATCCCAATATTGTTTTCAATATTTTCATAGACAAGTTAAAACAATTATTGTTAATTTTTTCGTTGAGGAAAATGCGTCTGATTTTAACAAAAAACGAAGAAAAACGTTTATAAAACAACGTCAACACACATAACGTTATCTAAAGCAACGTATAGAATTAAGATCTACGAATAATATTAAAAATTCTTTGAAACTTGAGAATATGTGATGCAAACAACTGCAGAGCGACATATCTCAGTCTTGAGATATTCAATCTTATCTACATAAAAATTAAATTCTCTCTGGAAGCTGAGCGCGGATAAAATAACTGAACGTTGCGCCGTTACAATGCTGAGCGAGACTACTAGATCTAATTGTTACATCCTATTATACAAAAGCCGCTGTAATAGCAAACAAAGACGGTATGAGCTGAGTATTAATTAGAGGTTCTTTTGGAAAGCCGCTGATAGAGTGCAAAATAGCATTTTTGGATGCGGCGTAAAATAAAAATGAAATGAAAACGTTTTTCATCAACAAATGTAGTTTTATGAATCCTTAAATGAATCAAATTATTATTGCATCATGGAAAGCTTTTTGATAACCATTTCGAATCCGAAACTGGAAAGGCAAGCTCTCCCATCAAACCGGAAGAGCTGCCAAAAATGATAGCAACCTCAGAGTTGACAATTCTGCCAGAAAAAATTGAGCCTGTTGGCGTATGAATTACGACTGCTCTTCTCAAAATACCATTGAAATAATGTATTGTGTACATTGGGAAAATATTGTCCCCTTCACAGCACCGAGTAAATTGTACTAAATTGTCTTTTAGATTAACCATACGGTTTGTATAGCCCTCTTCAACATTGTATGTAGTGCGATTTATCAATGTATTCCACTCCACGAGCACAATTGAGACAAGTACCAGAGAGCAAAGTACTAAACACAGTAAATGGCATGTAATTTAACAGAAGATAAAGTTCCTCGCACAAACTGAGCTGAAGTATGATTTCTAGAATATTGAAGCTAGTGAGAAGGAATATACCTATAGGCGATCATCACTCGATACCGAGTATGGAACCAGCTCTTGCATTTGTATTGCACACCTCGGTTCCGTTTAAAACCATGCTGTGTCTCTGGGAGGTTCTGTTTGGCAGTTGGGATTAGACGATTTGATATTATTCTGGAAAGCAACAGAAAATTGGAATGGAATAAAAATGGAAAAGAAGAATAAGACTGGGAGTTTATGGCAAAAAGTCATGGAAATGAAATTACTTGTAATGAATGTATAGCAGAGAATTCAATTCGCAATGCACCTCGAATGTCCAAGGATCAACAAAAATCTACGAACCCGAGCCAAAGAAGCAAGCGTTCAATCACACTGATTTATAGTCGACGCTCTCTATTAAGATCCTGAAAACGGTTAGAGATACAAGGTCGGAGAAAAACGAACTTTGTTTCTATTTTTTCCTATTTGAAGAGATATTTTGAATTATAGTATAACATACCCAGGTTCGCTCAGTAAGATTGAACGATGAGAATTTTTATTACCTTCTGAAAAATGAAATGAAAAACAAATAGGACCTACTTTGTGGAAACTTACTCAATTTTACTTACTGGACATGCGCCCGACATAGCAAATATTTGGGAAATTTAAGGGAAGCTGTAATATGTAAAAGAAACGCAAAATTTGTGAAACGCCTCCTTTATTTTCAAAGAAAAACGTACCGTTCTCGACCTGGAATTAACGAGGAAAAAGAGAACGGAAGAGAAAACCTCGAATCCCCAAAAATCGAAACATACTGTGTCATTTTAGGTAAATAATCATTGCGAGTCATTAATTAAGTAATTTAGGTCAATAAAAGTTCAAATTAGGTGCCGTCCCTGTTCTTGTGCTAAAATTTCAATTACACACTCAACATTCAATCAACACTACCTATATTCCAAACTGAAGAGTTTTTGGTTAGTTAGCCAGTTTCCCAGCAGGTACTGAGGTCCCATACGGGAAGCTACTCAGCTATAGTTGAGTTTGAGCCAATATCTCTAGATTGATTATTTCAATTTGTTAGGATATTCTCTCGTCAGGGTAGGAACAAGGCTCTAATGCACGCTCTAAATCCAAAAATCAAAATCCTAGCACAAAAGACAGCACATAATTTCTTAGGTTTTAATTTACTCTTTAGCTGTGTTGTTTACAGTATGAAACGATTTTGGTTAAATACATACAAAAAAAACATAAAAATTGGAAAAAAATAATAATACAGTAGTGTCGTGATAATCTGGATCAATTAAAACCAGACCAATCCGGATTATCAAATTATTCGGATTACTAACGCATTTTACAGTTCGCTTTTAAAACTATTTTGAAAAAATAACATGCCGTATTTAAGCAAAAAAACTTTATATTTATTTGAAAGCTCGTCTATAATCGCTAACTTTTCGTTGAGACTTAAAGTTTTGTGTTTGCGTTTAATAGGTTCCATTTTCTTTAAAAAAAAACCCACACCCTCAGGAAGGACGCCGCGTATTAAATGATGCGTGTAGACATGTAAAAACTACCTATCCACTTGAACGCAGTTACAAAAACGACAAGTGAAAACCTGTGCTTTTATTTTCAAGAGTCATGTGAATGAATTTGGATTACCTAATCAAGTAAAATCCTGATTACAGAGTCATTTATCGAGACACTACTATACTTGCGAAAATTGAACTCTCAAAGACCAAATAATAATTAATCCACTAACCTGTACGTTCCTTACACACACACACTAATAACAAATTGAATTGAACAATTAATTTTAATGCAAAATAGTAATGAAAATTGAAAAATGAATAATTACAGACGCGCGTCTCGGAGAGCCGCCGCTTGTTCTCCATTCCAAAGCCTAATCGCTTATTCTTCTTTACCTCCCTTTCGGATGGTACCCTCGTTGTCTCCTAAACCTAAACTCTGTGGCGCAGTACATATGGTTGCAACATTTAATTTTATTCAGTAAACGTTTTTTTTTTTTTTAATTGAGTTTTGAAGAAATAATATTTTTAATAGGTGGTTCTTCTCAGAATTGATTCTCATTTCATTGGAGCAATTTTTCCGTTCATAATTTCCTCATAGCTTTTTTACAGGCTACTTGCCATAAACCCGTCTTCATTCCTTACTAAAATAATAGATTGCTTTTCAAATACATGATACTTCAAATTATATATTTGAGGAACACACAGTGCTAAACATCGAGCTTTAAACTGCTAGAGGAATCAACAAGCATATTTGTTTGGTTCCATAATGCAATAGCGGGGTTAGAGAGGTGATTTATCATATGTTGCCAAATTTATTCCTGTTTGAATAATGATGAATAACGTCATCCAACGAAAAGTGTCTATTTCAAATTTTTCTGCTTAAAATAAAATTAGAAATATACTCAGGACATTTTAAATCTATACCTTAAATAATTCTAAAACAACAATACCTTTAATCACCACTCAATTTGGTTATAAATGGAACTACCTACCGGCTTCTAAAGAAAGCTTTTACAGTTTGGCAATGATGGAGTAATTATTTTGTGTTCGCTCCTTTCTTGTGGCAGAACAGCTGATGCCCAAAACATAAACAGACTGGTTCATAAACATTCTATTTTCATATTAAGTGAGAGAGGGCCTGGTCTCATTCTGGAGCCAAACAAATTCTATAGCACATTATTATCGTTATTAGTCTAGAGAGAGAGTATTCAATGGTCGAAGGTGCTAAATAATTATTTTCACAATTTGATTCAAGAGCATTTTATGAAATATTGACTGTGCCTACTTCAACTAACATAACAATTTTCAAAATAGGAGCTTTTTAAATGCATTGCAATTAGAATAGCTATTTAGGAAAAATTGCGTTTTAATTTCATAAAAAAATAATAAATAAAAATTAATAGCTATTAAAATGAGCCAGACTGAGTGCCCTTTAGGCATTTACGCTACGCCTTGTGAAATAATATATTTTAAATTACTTTTTTATTACACCTTCAAATAGGTTCCAAATTCAAACCACTCCAATTAAGTCAAAGACAAGCAAAAAAGAACATGAAAATTCTATTAGTTAAATAAAAAGGGAACCTTGTTTTATAGCTTTAATCAATGACAAATAATATGGAAATCCTCTCTTTCCATGCGGTTCAGTTGTGTAAATATTAGCCAAATCCCTATAAAGTAATTGTTCAGCCAAACAACGAGGGAGGATAATATCTTACGTTAAAACGAAGCTTCAATTAAAGTAGGATTCGAAAAGATACATACAACCTAAATGCGATTTGGAAATCCAATTCGTAGATATAAATACACCATTACTGTGAATAATGAAAGTAAACCTAACTGGGGGAAATAGAATCTACTTAAATTAAACAATAAAGATGAAACTTCCATTTTAGTATGTTACTATGGCAATAAAGGTTAAAATAAGCTTAATGTGTTCAAGGTAGAACATCTCTATTAACAAGCACGCTATAAAATTCAAAACGTTGGAGCTGGGCATTCAGGGAGAAATAGTAGTAAAGATACACGTCTTCGCTAAGGCTAACGAAAGAATTTACGTTCTCTAAAATAAAACAAGGGCTTTAGGAGAAGAAAGGAATACTTTAGAAAATTTTCAAAGGAATGTAAAATGTGTTTTTTAAGAAAATACCATTGGAAAATTAATTTTATTTCAGTTTCAGGAATTTTATAAA